GCAGGCCATGCACCAGCTGTGGGCGTGGCCGGCTGTGTTTTCCCCGCCTTGGACCCAGTCCCTACCATCCAGCATCAGCTATGCCATGGCCCAGAACCAGGACAGTCTGGCCACGTACGGAGGACACAGTGATAGGCTTCTCTGGGTGATGAGCGGCTTCCAAGTAGGTTGTGGGGTGGTCATCGTCGGTTCCTCGCCGTCGTTGTCGGCCCACCGCCGGTGCTTCATGCGCCCTTCCGAGAAGGCCGAAAAGAACGGAGCCGCCGTCGGCAAGAGGGAGGACGAGCTAGGGGAGGCCAACGGAGCTGTGCCGGCCTGGCTTGGTAGACGGGCGTCCATGGGCCCGAAAGGCCCGGACTTGGGCCCAGACAGCATGGCATCAATGGCGGCGGCGGTAGCCCCCTCCTCGTCGGCCGGCGGCGTCGATGGCCGGTGGGGTAGCTCGAAAGCTGTTGTGGCGACGGTAGCCGGCTCCGGTGCCAGGGGTGCGCCAGATCCAGCCCCCTTGTCGGGCTGCGGAGTGGCCGCGGTGGCTTCGCCGCACGTATCACCCGGCGGCAGCGTGGAGGGCGAGGAGGTGCCGGCGGTGGAGGCATCCTCCATGGTGCCCGGCGGGGGCTGCGGCGTTCGCCCGACGCGCGGCGTAGCTCCGCATCCCGCGCGCTCGGGTGCTCCCACGGGCCCGGACGTGCGTGGGGGAGGAGAGGAGGGGGAGACGGGGAGGTGAGGAGAGAGGGTGGAGGGGGATGCCACCGGCGCCATCGCCGGTGTGGCGGCTGGCAGCGGCAGGGAGGGAGCCTGGGACCCCTAGGGTTGGGGGGAGCCCGACTCGATGAGACGAGAGTGTCAGAGCTGACTTTGGATGGGCGGCTAGCGGCCCATGACTACCACATTGTATAAGGGCGAGCACAAGCACTATTTGATCCCAGATTCTAGAACCAATTAACAGACAGTTCATTTCATCACCAAACACGATAAAGAGTCTGTTTGACCCCCAATTTAAACTACAGTAATCAGATAAAAATAATCTGAAGGTATGATCAAAACAGCCTAGATTATTATAGGTTGGTTTATAATATAGGCTTTGATGTGGTACTTCTAAATAATGGTAAGTCGTTTATTTAATTAGATTTGATGGTTAGAATCATCTATTATCACCTATAAAAGGTAATAGCTGAAATGCATATCTTATTTAATTTTAAATTTTTTATAATAGGATAATTAATGAAACTATACATATTAAGATTTTTACATCTAACTGATGCATATATGATCCATTGAACGTGGTATTTTTACAATTTTTATATGATTAGAAACTGTTGGAGGAAGCCAACAAATATGCTCCCAAGTTTTTTTTAGCCACTTGAAAAATTCATCGATTTACCAATTGTTTTTTTTAAACTATTAGAGGTGCTCTAAAGTAAAGGGAGTACCGTATATTTGTAATAATATATATAATATAACCATGGATTATTGTAATCCTATAATCCATCTCAAACATGTTTTTTTAGATTATAAGTCATTTGTCCTCCAACTAAGAATATTACACCTCTATAGTCTATAATAATCTCATGACCCAAACAGGCTAGATTATTATCATAATCTACAATATTGCTTATTATATTGACTCACACAATCCGTCGAATAATTTATATATCTCAAAAATTAATCTATTTACGGGTTCGTCAACGAACCACTTTGTATCGCTACAAAGAGTAGTTCCGGCGAGTCCTGGTTTTCAGGAAGTATGTCACAGAGACGTTGGTAACTAAAATGTGAGAGAGTGTGAGTGACAGCCCACGGAACAGCTGCAACACGCCTGCTATGATCGCGGAAACTGCTGCAACGTACTACGTGGAGTTTTTTCACCTTTCACTCGCTGTTTGTGACTTTGTGTGAGGCCGTTTTTCTTGGCGTACGTGACCGAGACGCCACAGCCGACGCACGTAGCCCATGCATGCACCGGTGGGTGGGTAGGTGGGTGGGCAGGATGAGGATGTCATGGAGACGAGGTGATGACAGAAATGGTGTCACGTTGGCTATACCTTGCGTAGGTACCTGCCAAGTTTGCTAGTAGCTCCGGATTTCTGCCGCCTAACATAGGGTGCTCAGATATTAGTCTGTGGGAGCCCAAAGATATGGATGGAGCAAAATGCATGACCCCGTGAAGACTCGTCTTTCAGTGCCTAAGTTGCCCTTTGTTATTTTTCCCTTATAAAACTAATCCAACTAGCTAGTTATGATACTCTATAATTAGATTAGAAGAGTGTCCCTCTCCCTCATGAGAAATATAATAAAAAAAGAAGATAAAAATAGAGTTACAAAGATTTCTAGAATTAACCATGATGACGACTTAGGTGCATAGATGAACAACAAAGGTTTCTAGAATTAACCGTGATGACGATCCTCCCACTGTTACTTAATTTGGTCTGTCATTCCATTTAATTGCTTTCCTACTTGCATATTTTCTTCCCTCACATCCTACTCAGTACTCGACGGCCCCAATATATATTGGAGCCAGCATATCCCTCCTTCAACCTTTCGACGCCACTAGTGCACATCCCTCCTTCAACCTCTCGACGCCACTAGTGCATCGACCTCCCATACTTTCCAAGTTTACCTCAACCAGCACCTCTCATAGCCATACCGCAACAGTTTAGCTATCTCATCGTGTCGACCAATCTTGGTATACTGGTGCTATAAACCGTACAATCGATTTGTAGGTAGCGACCTTCCTTCCGATTTTGCTTCAATTCACCTATTGTAGCCACACTACAACAGTTTTAGTAGGCTCATCTTCGATTGATCTTGCTACCCATGCCACAATCGTAATGGGGGAGTGCTCGTCTTCGGTCCCCTTCGTCTCCATGGGCGACTACGTTCATCAACAACACCGCCCTTCTACTCTTATGGCTTGTTCCTTCCCCTTACCTTGGTGTGATGTTCTCTTTGTCATCTCTGCTAGCGACGGAGTTGAGCAACACATATCTCAGTGCAGATCTCATGATAAGCGATAACTGATGTTTTCTTTGCCAGCAGGTAATTGCAGGCACCTACGATCATCAAAGCAACACCAAAATTCTATTCTTATGGCTCGTGTCTCTTCCTTGGTGTGTTTTTGTCTCTGTCATTTCCGCTAGCGCCGTTGTGCCAGCAGCCATGGGATCTTGGAGTCGAGTGTGATGAATGCTACGATTGCATTGACCAACACATGATCTCGTGACAAGATACAACAATCGATGTCTCTAGCAGGTAGTTGCAGGTGCGTGCGGTCATCAAAGCACACCACCCTTCTACTATTATGGCTTGTATCTCCTCCTTACCTTAGTGTGAATGTGTGATTTCTCTTTGTCATCTCCGCTAGCGCCGTTACGCCAGTGGCCATAGGGATCTTGGAGTCGAGCATGTGCATGCTATGATGCGTTGACCAACACAGATCTCAGTGCAGATTTCATGGCAAGATACAATAATCGACGTCTCCATCAGGTATTTGCAGGCGTCTGCTGCCATCGAAGCACACCACCCTTCAACTCTTATGGCTTGTATCTCCTCCTTACCTCAGTGTGACGATCTCTTTATATCATCTGCGCTAGCACCATTACGCCAGTGGCCATAGGGATCTTGGAGTTGAGTATGTGCATGCCATATGATTAGACCTAAGCAAATTAAGCCCGGTCCGGCCCGACCCGCGGGCCCGGCCTGAACCCGATGGGTTCTGGCCCGCCCATGAGCCTTACTGGATAGGGCCTGGGCACAAATCCTGCTACACAGAAAAAAATTTCTTGACCCGAGCCCACCCTGAAATACTGTTTTTTAGCTATTTTACATTGTAAAATGCATGGGCGGTCCGCCCAAGCTAGGGCCTAGCCCGAAAAATTAGGCCCGACTTGTCTAGTGGGATAGTCATGGGCGGGACTTTTTTGGCCCAAAATAACTGGGCTTTTTTCAGCCTGGCCCAAACCTGGTTCGGCCTGCAAAATGCCCAAGTCTAGCTACGATGCGTTGACCAACACAGATCTCAGTGTAGATCTCATGGCAAGATACGGTAACCGACGCCTCCAGCTGGTTACTTGCAGGCGCCTGCGGTCATCAAAGCACACCATCCTTCTACTTTTATGGCTTCTATCTCCTCCTTACCTTAGTGTGACGTTCTCTTTGTCATCTCCACTAGCGCCATTACGCCAGTGGCCATAGGGGATGTTGGAGTCGAGCATGTGCATGCTACAATGCGTTGACCAACACAGATCTCAGTGTAGATCTCATGGAAAGATATGGTAACCAATGTTTTCCTTCGCCAGCAGCCCAACAGGTAGTTATAGATCCTTTTGTAATTAAGAAAAAAGGTATCCTTTATAGTTTTTTTTTTTGCCAATGCCAGATTGCAACTATCCACAAATACCATGATAGAATGAAGAAAAATTATCGATTAGATTAGCTACATTCCTCTAAATCAAGCCTCTCACACACTCCCCTTAGATTGAATTCAATGCACACCGTATATGCACCCCCAAATCTTTCTCAAAGTTGGCAATCAAAACCACGAAATCTTCTTCCAATACCACACACACTATAGACTATAGCTAGAGTATTTAGGAAGGCTAGTAAATTCGTGATTATTAATTACAAAAAAATCGACCACATGGTATGGTAGATTGTTCTGATCCAGTGTGCTTAGGGCGCAGGCCGTGCTAAACGCTCGCCCATCAGCCTCTGCCTCTCATCATCCTACCCGCAGCCCCGGCCAGTTCATGGCGTGTATATATAGATATCCATCCACACAACCCTTGGACACACAGCTCATACATACACCAATCACCAGCCCGCGCCTCCTCTCCATCTCCGGCCAAGACGAGGTGACGACGACGACGTCGTCCGCCTCCGCACAACCACGCCATCATCCTTGCTCGGATCGATCAGGTGCGTAATGGAATGCATGCGCTGCGTGCTCTCTTCTCTCCTTGTGTTGTCATCGTTCGTGTCGCGTCGTCGTTCTTCCATGCATGGCATGGGGGCGATTCCTTGTCTTGGAGCTGATGAAATGTTGTTGCATGGTGCTGTTATTAGCGGCGCGCATGGATCGGCAGCAGGAGGGCGACAGGAAGCGCGCGCGGCAGGGGGAGGAGGAGTCCGCGGCAGCGGCGACGGGGAGACGGCGGCAGCAGCAGCGGGCGGCGGCCGTGGCTCAGGCACCCGCGCCGGCTGCCGGCGGCGGCGAGGCCTGGCCCGGGGCGGCGTGGCAGCGGCCCGAGGGGGTGTTCGATTTCCCGTGGCAGAAGTGCCGCGGCGGGTTGGGCGTGGCGAGCGGCGGCGGCGGGTGGGAGCTCCGGGACGTGTTCTTCCGCTCGCTCGTGGACGGGCGCGCCGCGGCGATCGGGGTGCCTGGCGACCGCCTCTCCGCGCCGCCCAGCAAGCGCACCCTGTTCGACGACGTGGACGCGTGGCTCGCCACGGCCGGCGACGGCGAGGTGGACCCTCTCTGGCGGTCGGTGCTGGAGGCGGGGCCCAGGCCCACCGCGTGACGACGTACACCAGCCAACGTGCCGATCGAGTCGACCGCCAGGTGCTCCAGGGCCCCACCTGGCGGCTGCGCTCAGGTGTCGGCCGCGTCAGCAGCGGTGCGCTGGCATCAAGGATAATCTATCTCTATCAGTCTATCTATACTAGGAAAGGAAAGGAGAGAAGGGATTTGAAGGAGACGAATTCCAATTTCAAATTTCTGTTTAGTTTGCTAGGGTTGCATTGGTCTCTTAAGTAGCTAGGTCGTCGCGAGTGTTATGCTTAGTTCTTATCGTCTTCAAAAACTTTCGTCAGGTTTAATTTAGCTTACAGGTCCGGATCATATCATAGGGCAAAAAGACTTTGAGCATGCATGTTCGTGGGTGTGTGTGTGATGACGAGTTATTGATGAAGAAACTTGGATGAAGTTAAAGAATGGAATGTCGTTCCAATACATGCTTCACTTTAAAGAATGGAATGTCGTTCCAATACATGCTTCACTTTATCTAACAACTAGTACTATTTTTTTAAATTATACAGTACAATCTAGTCATTCACCTCTACCAACGCACGCAAACCTTATCCTAGAGCACATTCAAAGACTGAGCCGGCAAATTCTCGAGACAGGTGTTTCGCTGTCGATGGGAACGTCGTCTACCAGTCTACCACTGAAAGCACAACACCGTTAAATCGTCCTGAAATATTCGTCACTACTGAGGCTCTTGTAACCACTAGGCCACATGCCCTTTCGCATAACAACTCGTACATAAACGATCGGTTTGTGTGTGATGACAACAACCTGTCATTAGTTTTTTTTTAATCACAGTACATCTGTCAATGGGTTTTCAAAGACTACTAGATCACATTCATATCCAGGGAACGAAATAAATTTAAATGCATCATGAGTAAATTGGTTAGCGTGATTTAGTGATGCATGCACTTGACTTGTTGAACTAGCCATGGGCTGGCAGAGGCTGGCACTAACCATATATCCAGTTCAGTGAAACTAACTGTTTGTTCTATTCGGGAACTTTGTTTCTTGTTTGTATATGCATGGAGACTGAGTGAGGTCCAGCATCAAAACAATATAATGCGGGCACGAACATGAAGCACGCACGACCTCTTGAGATATGCGTGCCGCTTTGGTGTCTGATCAGTAACTTCTGGATTTAGCCAAAGTTTATGCAGCAGGTTCATATGATCGACAACTGAAACCTCGCTACTTTTCTTGGCTATATATATGTGTATATAAACTATATATATATATATATATATATATATATATAAATCTTCAGGCTTCATGTGGTGCACGCAAAGGCAAGGTGGATGCAAATGTATGCCAAAAACCAGTTTCCGGTAACTGTCCAGCCGTATATTTTTAAGCATAATTTGCTCAAAACTGATGCGGATCGTCGCTACTGCAAAGAACACACACAAACACAATGGCTGGCTGGCCGGTGTGGAAGGAACGATTTCGACTTTATATTATCGTCATGCTCTCTCATGCAGGTCTCGAGGAGACGATCCACAAGTTCGCTCTCGAGAATCACGCATGCCATTTCCGCCAACTGAAACCGCGAGTGAGAAAGGCATGCATGCACTTCCGTCCGGGGCTTAGCCTGCACGGTGCACGCACCGGGTAAAGCCATGCTTCGTGCTTTGCTTCCCGCTTGTGGGACGGATGCAACGCCTTCCAGCCGGTCACGGGGAAAAAAGCTACTAACGACTAGGAATGATCTTGTGCTCGTTGGACTTGTCGAGGGATGCTGTTTAGATCCACGTAACTTTCAAAACGTATTTATGAATTTTTAAACTTTGTTAAGTAGTGCATCGTATGTCCATAAATTTGTTAAATGTTGCACCTCAGGTTTATTTTTAGACCATACCTACAAGTATAGTTTTCCAAACGGGTGGCACGGCACTATCAAGCACGGTGTCACTGTCGTGCCGTGCTACCGTGCCCAGACTCTGGCTCAGGCACGGCACTAAAGTCTTCAGATAGTGCCGTGTCGTGCCACAGGGCACGGCAGCCCAGCGGACTAGTGCCGTGCCTTGGCACTAAAACCACATCACCACTTCAACATATCAGAATCAAAAGAACAGTTAAAAAACAAACTTGAAATCTGATGAATCTAAAATCACAAAGAAGAAAACACAAGACAGAGATAACAAAATACCAAATTAAAGGAGCTGTGCAATGGCTGCCTCATTAAAAATCTGTCTAGGTAAAACCCACCCTTGTGAAAAACCCTAGACAGGGAAAAAGAGTGCAACCAGCTCCATAAGTTCAATTGTTCATTACATCCACAACCAAAGGTCCAAAGCATCCAAGTCTTAAGATTACAGAATTATTACATAAATGACTAATCAAGATAAAGTTATTCAAAAGCCTCCTCGAGCTCCTTATCCTCCACCATATGTTGTAGCCTTGTCTCTGCAGCTTCCCAGTCCTTGATGCATGTGAGTGCCTCCACAGTTTTAAGGTTCAGCCTCCGCCGCCGGTCTTCAACGATCCTGCCAGTGGTACTAAAAGTAGCTTCAGAAGAAATGGTAGAAACAGGCACACTGAAAACATCTCTAGCAAGGGTAGAAAGAACTGGATATGTTGGTTTATGCTGATGCCACCAGTTCAAGATGTTGAAGTCATTATCCATCTGGCTAACTGAGTCACAGTCCAGATAAGCTAAAAGTTCAGAACCAGTGTTAGATGAACTTGCTGTATGTAACAAAGTAGTAGCAGGAATAGTCCTGGACATATCAAGATTAGGAGGAAGAGAAGAACAGCCAGCTCCAAGCAAACCACCACCATCATCATCATCATATATCTTAGCCCAAGCTGTTCTTTTCTTACCAGATAGGCTTGGAGGGTCAGGCCTTTTCGCCCTAACAGAGTCATACAAATCATCATGCTTATGATACAGTTTGAAAAGAAGAGTTCTAGTTTCCACCATCTTATTAGAATAATCAGCATCAGTAAGCAAATTTAACTTTCTAAGAACTTTGTTAAAACCTTTAATTTTAGCTCTTGGATCCAACATAAATGCAACGCAGTAAAATTCAGGTATGGTTCTCCAATATTTATTGTACTTATCAATCATAGGTTGGACAACAGTTCTAATATGCTCATCATTTTGATACCTATGCAGGTGTATAGCAATCTTAACAACATGATGAACCATAAGTTTGGCAGTAGGATAGTACACACCAGACAAAACAACTGTTGAGTCATAAAACAGTTCAAGGAATTCCAGTATTTTAGTTGCTATAGCCCAATGCTCATGAGTCAAAAGAAAGGGGTCACCTCTTTTTCTAGGATAATTAGACTCAATGAAAGTATGAAAAGTTTCCTTGTGCTCATGAGTTAATGAATGATATAGCAGTTCTGAAAGCATCAAGCATAGGACTAACAGCAACCAGAGCCTCTTTAACAATTAGGTTTATGATATGACAAGCACAGCGTTGATGCAAAAACAGATCAGCACCCAAATACTCTCTAAGTGCAGGTTTCAGTTTATCCATAGCTTTAGTATTAGCAGAGGCATTGTCTAAAGTAACAGAAAAAACCTTCTTCAATATACGTTGTATCAGAGGTATCAGAGGTAATAGCAACAGATGAAATGGCATTACTCTTCAAATTATCAATCAAACGATCACGCTTTTCATTGAAGTACTTAAAAAATCTCTAGCTGTAGTTTGCTTAGAAACAGTTGTGTACCTAGGGTTATGAGCAGTTTTTATGTAATCTTCCTAGGCCTCAGTTTCCCCAAGACGGAGGGGAAGATCTAACCTAGCAAGCAAACGAACAAGCTGAACACGAGCAACCTCAGCCGAATACTCCCAATTATGCATAGTACCGTCCTTATTGAAAGTAATGTGTGACTGAGCCATGCGACATTTCTCACGCTTCTTAGGGCAAGAGTCTTGATGACGGAGAAGGTGGTCAGTCCCAAATCTAGAGTACGCAGAATACTCCTTACGGCAGTGAAGACACCGAGCGCCATACCTAACAACCTTACCATTTACCTTCTTGGTGAGCTTCTCAAAATCTTCCCAGCATACTAAGGTAGAAGGGCGGTTAGGCCTGCTGCTGGAGCCGTCATCAACAGCGGCGGCGTCCTGGATGGTGCCGCCGGTGTTGGGGGCGTCAGTGCCGTCGACGGGAAGTGGGTCAGCAGCAGTATGGCCGTAGAGCTCCTCGGCAGCACGACGGCCGAAGAGCTCCTCGGCATCCCCAGCGACATCGTCCTCGTCGTCTCCGGTCATCCCGCAGAGGCGCAGCTCGTCGTTGATGGTCATGGAGAGACCGATGTCCTCCTGCTCGTCCGACATCTCGTCGTCGTTGGCCTCCGGTCCGTCAACGCCAACGCCTACCAAAACCAAGAACAACAAGAACACCTAGGGTTAATAGAAGATCATGAAGAAGAACAAAAACGAACAGATCTAGGGTTATGGCTCACCTCTCTTGACGGAGCACCAGAGACAACGGCGACGACGACGTCGCGGAGACCCGACACCCTAGTACCTCAACGCATCAGAGCATAGCCCCAATGATGCCAGACTCTAGCGAGGTCGATGAGAGCGACGAGACAGAGACGAAGACGAACGGTGGTGGATCTCGACGAGAAAGCTACATCGACGGTCAGAGAGAAGGAAGAGTGGTGTAGAAGGCCATGGCGTGTGCCTGTGCCAGCAACCGCCGCCTTAACCAGCCACCAGACGGCGGGAAGAAGAGAGGAGAGCGGCTAGGGTTTCAGTCGATGGGAGAGCTCGATGCGGCCATGCGGCTGGAATGGGGACGGAATGAGCTAGGGTTTGGAAAGGTGGGGAGCCAAGAGCGGCAGCTGGCTTATAAAGCCATCCCACCGAACCCCTAGATCCAACGGTCAGCAGGCGGGGGGGTTCCATCCAACGGCTCGAGGCCATGCCGCCCCCGTGCCGGCCGTTGAAGCGGGCCGTGCCCGTGCCGTGCCATCGTGCTGGCATCGCGGCCCAGGCACGGGCACGGGGCCATGCCGTGCTTGGCACGGGCATGGTAGCTGCCGGGCTGGGCCGTTTTCGTACCGTGCTCGTGTCGGCCCAGCGGGCTTGGCCAGTTTGGAAAACTTTACCTACAAGACACGTTTGGTTATCGTATGGGTAGAGCCAGGCTCGTATCCCAGAGACAGGCTACCTAGGGCCAGGCCTAGCGCATGCAGACAGCTAGCCCTGGATAAAAAATACCGTGAACCGAACCAAAAATATCAAGAATCGAATTTTTCGGTACCCTATTCGGTTCCTAATTCGTAGGAACTGAAATTACCGAGGTAAATTAGGTTCTTTACCTCGGGGAACCGAATTACCTGAAATGTGCTGAGTTTGAGTGTCGTTATATTATTGATTGTACTATTGTATACTATTATATTATGTATTTGTGGTACCCACTCTTATAGTCTTGTTGACTTTTATATGTATATTTATTTTGCACTATTATTCTCTATGAAATCATGTCAAAATTAGCTTTTGAACTTGCTATTACATGTCTTTTTGATCAATTTGGTACTGTTTGGTAAATACCGAAACCGAACCGAAAGTACCGAAACCGAATTTCCTTGGTACCGATTTTTGGAAGGAACCAATCGGTACTTATTTCTCAAGGAATCGAATTTCTGTGGGAACCAAAGTACCGAACCACTCGGTTCGATATTACCGAATGCCCATGCTGACAGACAACTCCTGTTTGGTTCACTAAGTCATTTTCGCCTAGCTACATGGAGCTGCCGTTTCGTACATGTATATGTGAAAGCCCTAGTTTGGTTTTGGCTAATTGATGAAACCTAAGCACTAACCTTTGTCATGAGTGTCATATGAGTAAGGTTGGTACATACCAAGTGATGGAGCATGGTGATGAAGTCCATGGAAATGGAGATGGACATGTCTTGAAGATGATCAAGTGCTCAACTTAGAAAAGAAGAAAGAGAAAAACAAAACTTTATGGAGATCAAGGCAAAGGTATAATTAGGGATTTTGTTTTGGCACTCAAGACACCATAGAGGGTGTGAGTGTATATAGGATCGATAGCCGTACTATAAAGAGGGAAAATCTTTCGCTAAACGGTTTATCGAGTGCCACTAGGTGACATGATTCATGCATTGCATTTAGGAACCTAGTGTGCTAACTTTGATCCTTGTGAAATGCTTTAAAAAATGCTAACACACGTGCACACAAGTTCCACACTTTGTGGTTAGCAACCTATAAACAAGGGTGAAGTGGTTGTGTAGATAGAAAAAGAAAATGGAGGAGACAGCATTGACCGGACTCTGGCACCGGGGTGACCGGACTCAACCCGGGCGTGTCCAGTCAGGGAGCACAGAAGAGGAGGCGTTCGGCCTCATGGTCGGACAATGCAGAGGCAGCACGACCGAACGCGCAGGGAGTGCGTCCAGTCACATTGACGTACATTGATGTGGGCAGCGCGTAGGATCGGAGAGTGAGGCACAGAGGACCGGACTCCGGCCCGAGTCCGGTCAACCTCGAACGGACACGTCCGGTCACAAAAATCATGCTCTAGGAGCTCACTGGAACTGACCGGACTCAGCCTCGCACGGCGTCAAGTCATTGGAGGAGCACGTCCGGTCGTCACTTAATGCATAAGTGATCAGGAACTTAACCATTGGAGATGAATGGGCAAGGTTTGAAAGAAGACACGTGGACGTTCAAGGGTGATCGGACACTGGCCGACCGTACGTCGGGGTGTGTCTGGTCAGCTCGCGAGCAGAGCAACGACTCTATTTTGAGAGGACGTCTATAAATAGTATTTGGCCAGCTTAGGGCTCACACTCTTGGCACTTTGACATACTTGACATCCTTGTGAGCCTAAGCAAACACCTCCCACTCATCTTCATCATTGATTCATCGTCATAGTGAGATTGGGAGCGATTCTAAGTGCATTTGCTTGAGTGATTGCATCTAGTGGCACTTCGTGATCGTTGTGGCTGCGGATTTCTTGTTTCTCTTGGTGTTTGCCACCACCTAGATGGCTTAGAGCAGCGGAGGAGCTTCGGCATGAGTTGGTGATTGTTCGTGGCCGGCTCCGGTGATTGTGAGGGGTCTTGCACCTTTCCTAGCGAAGAGACTCAAGGTAGGTCTAGTAAATTGCTCATGTCATTGAGTTACCTCACTTGTGGGTAGGTTCTTGTGGTGCCTCTTGTGGTAGGTTAGGTGTGTTATACCTATTAGCCACCGAACCACCAAGTGTTTATCGACACAACAGGGACATAGCGTGCCGGCAAGCATGTGAACCTCAGGAGAAAATTGGTTGTCTCTTGCCCTTTGGTATTCTCCCGGTGATTGAATTGATATTCATCTTGTGATTGGTTCACTCCTCGACATGGCGGTATAATCACCTCACTTTCTCCATTACTTTCCTGCAAACTAGTTGTAGCAAGCTCTTTAATGTAGCTAGAATTGAGAGCTTGCTTAATAGCTTAAGATCATATAGTAGATCTCTTTAGTGTAGCAAGTTTGAGAGCTTTTAGTGAGTAGCAACTTAACTCGTGTGTGCCTAGTGATCATAGCAACTAGAATTGTTGGAATAGGTGGCTTGCAACCCTTGTAGAGCTAGAGCAAAATTACATTACGCCATTTGTTGTACTAATCAATTGCTCTAGTTGATTTGTAGATTTTTTTAATAGGTTGTTCACCTCCTCTAGCAATATTAGGACCTTTCAAGAGGTATCGGAGCCAGGTTACCATTTGATTGAAGGCTTAACAACCTCGGTGTCAAATTATGGCTCAAGTTGTGTTCAACCATGTGGGGGGCAAACCACCGTTCTTTGATAGCACATGCTATAATTATTGGAAGAGAAAGATGAAGATGTATCTTGGTTCAATCAATGACCAAGTGTGGGATATGACCGAGAGTGACTATGTGATTCTTAATCCGGACAATCTCACCAACACCGATAAGACCAACAAACAATGCAATACAATGGCTCTCAACACCATCTACAATGCCATTGATTCCAAGGTGTTTGAGCAAATCAAGGATTGTGAGAAAGCTAGTGAAGTGTGGAAGAGATTGGAGCAGACCTATGAGGGCACATCGGCAGTGAAGAGTGCCAAGCTATGCATCCTCAAGGATAAGTTGACAAGCTTCAAGATGAAGGATGATGAGAGCATTCCAGAGATGTTCCATAGATTGTAAGTAATTGTCAATGACTTGAAGGCTTTGGAAAAGAAGATCAATGATGATGATGTCTCTCATCGATTTTTGATGTGCTTACCTCCTAGATTTGAGACATTGAGATTGATCGTCATTAGAGGAGGATTAAAGCAACTCACCCCTAACCAAGTACTAGGTGATGTTGTGACACAAGAGACATACCGCGTGGAAAGGGAGGGGGTTGACAAGGATGACAAGAAGGAAGATGAAGACAAGAAGAAAAAGAGTGTGGCATTCAAGGCTAGCTCATCATCCAAGAACAATGGCAAGTCTAAGAAAGAAGAATCAAGTGATGATGAAGATGCTAGTGACATTGATGATGAAGCCATGGCTCTCTTTGTGTGCAAGTTTAGAAGATTCATGAAGAAGAAGGGCTATGGTGCAAGAAAGAGAAGAGACAACAACAAGAGCAAAGAATATATGAGGAGATGCTATAATTGCAAGAGCCCCGATCATATTGTAGCGGATTGTCCCTACAATAGTGACAATGATGAGGATGAGAAGAAGAAGCATAAGAAGGACAAGAAAGAAAAGAAGGAGAAGAAGGAGAAGAAGATGACCTTCCAAAAGAAGAAGAAGGGTAGAGGCTATGTGGTCACTTGGGATGGTGATAAATCTTCAGATAGTGATGGCTCTAGTGATGATGGCAAGAAATCTATCAAGAAAGCACTAGTAAGCATCGCCATCAATAACAAGCCTTCCATCTTCGACACTCCATCGACATGTCTCATGGCAAAGCCTACCAAGGTAAAATATGATGTGAGTGATGATGATTGTGAAAGTGATGATTGTAGGAGTGATGATAAGGAGAAGTACACCAAGGAGGAGCTCATGGACATGTGTGAGCAAGTGCACACTTATTTTGAGATGAAGAGAAAGGAGTGCAAAGAATTGCGTTTGATGAGCTAAATGCCTCTAATGAGAGTCTAAGGGAAGACCATGAGATGCTTGGCAAAGCTCACTCTAAGCTTGAAAAGGCTCACTCCTCTCTCCTCAAGCAAGTCAAGGAGGAAGAAGCCAAGAAGGAGCAAGTGATTGTGTCATGTGATGTGGGACTAACATGTGATATTATTGATAAATCCTTTTATAAGCCCATTGTTGTTGCTCCCACTAACCTTTCTTGTAGCAC